TTTCTTGACCCTTAGGAATTGATCTTAGGATATCTGCAGCATCACCTCGTAAAGCAGCAGTCAAGGAAACAGCTTTTTCTTGTTCTGTCCAATGATTGGCTGTCGCAATAGCTTCAAATTGTCTAAGGTATATAGACCAAGAGGACTTTCCATCAAATGGTGGCAATTTGAATCTCATATGATGTGTAGTTTCGTCTCTCGGTGATTCTTCTTTTACTACCGGATCTAAAGCTACCGTATTAATTGGTGGTAGTACTTTCGTGTTAGTTATCATGGTCTCTAATTGTTTGATCTTCTCTTCTACGTCTTCTATCTTGTCGTTTACATTTTTCTGTATCTGATCGACTGTTCTTGAGACTTCTTCAAATTTCTCATTGTTCTGGATACATATTTCTTTAATTATTTGTGAAGTCTCGTCGAATCTTCTAGATACATTTTCGAATGTTTCATCGAATCCTTTTGAAACATTCTCTAATTTATCATCATTTTTTTTTGAAGTTTCTTCAATCATTTGCGAGACGTTTTCAAATTTCTCGTCGAATCTTCTAGACACATTTTCGAATTTCTTATCATTTTTTCTGGAACTCTCTTCGATCTTCATTAAAACTGCTTCTTCTGCTGATTGAAAATGGAATGTCTCTGGGTCATCTCCATTATTGTTAAGAACATTCTTTAGTCGCTCCTGGAGGATCTTCTTGGACCCGCTGCAGTCTTCATCGCGTTCTTCTAATTGCTCACGCAACTGTTTTACCGAGAGTTGTACTAGCAGCATCTTTGTACAGGCACACACGTACTTTTATAAATGTTCTTTCGTACAAAGGTCACTACCGAACTACGCGGATGTTCCCGACGAACAATACTTTTCAAAAGTTTTAAAGTCTTTTTCAAAAGTCACTGCTGGATTTATGTTGTAACTCCACACCGGACACCAACTGTACCGTTTTTAAATAAAACGAGCGGTTCGAATTTATATAAATATATTTATTTATAACTTTACAGTTCGATACTATCTTATCAACTAAACTTATTCCTAAGATCGTTACATATATATACTAAAGTTACTATTTTCTAGAAAGTTCCCACCTCTAGGCGAACGCGATAGATCTTTCTCGAAATATCGAGTCGCTTTCGAGATGCCGCCGCGCCGCATGGAAGCATGAGGTGCTGTTTCGAGATGCAACCGTTATACGTGCCTCGTTAAATGCACGTTCGTAACAATATGTATATATATATATATATATATATATATATATATATATATATATATACATATATTAATGAACTTAATACTTTTGAATTATTTAAGCTGAAAATTTGTTAATATAAAGGAGTAACAAAGTAGATAAGAAATTTAAAAAAAAACAGAGCCTTCTAAAAAAGATTTTGTTTTGAAAAAGTGAAAAACAAAGAGATACAGTGCGTTAAGTTTTGGATTAGGTATACACTCTATAAATGGCAACACTGCGCGTCTTCGACTTGCACTACATATCTGCTTCGTTGACTCGTCGTTGCACGTCGCCGGTCGGCAAATTTGTCATATTGTTATTATACCGTGGTTGTTTAAAGGTATAACAGCGTAGAGTTTTAATTTATTTTTGTAAACATGTCTGTTTATATGGCCGCGGAAAAAACTCAAATAATAAAATGGTTTTATAGTGGCAATTCTGCGCAACAGTGTGTAGATTTATTTTCTGTGTTTTTTGAGGGAAGACCAATTCCTTGTGTACAGTCAATTTATAATATTGTTAAAAATTTTGAGAGTTGTTATTGCCTCAACAATTGCAGAAAATGTCACGCTCGAGAAGTGTTACCAGAAAAAGTTGAGGAAAGAGAATACCGGGATACACAAATGTGTGCAACAATCGAGGTAGATTCAACACGTTCAAGTAAAAGCGTTGCTAGAGAGTTAGATGTTAGCAATGTTACTGTAACGAAAGTATGGAAAAAGCACGGTTACAAGAATTTTAAATATTCGAAAACGCAGCAGCTTTATCCAGACGATTACTTTCGAAGAATGGAGTTTTGTGAAACTCTAATAACGAAGGCTAATAGTGAACCAAATTTTATTAAAAACATTTTATTCACTGATGAATCTTCTGTTTCGTTAGTAGGGAGACACAATCCTTCCATTACGAGGTATTGGGCGCGGGAAAACCAGCACAGAAGTGTTGTTTACCGAACTCAACGTCCTCAAAAAGTTAACATCTGGACTGGCATTTTAGGAAACCACATAATAGGTCCATTTTTTATTGAGGGCAACTTGAATAGTAGAGTATAGCTCGATTTGTTACAGAATCATGTTCTTCCCGGTATTCTCAATCTTCCTGATGTAAATCTGGAGAATGTTTGGTTTCATCAAGACGGCTGTTCAGTTCACAACGCTCGAATTATTAGGGAGTATTTAAACAATACTTTCCCGAATCGAGTTATCAGTGGAACAATCGATATTAAGTGGCCTGCGCGATTTCCAGATCTTAGACCCATGGACTTCTTTTTTTGGGGACATTTAAAAAGCATTATCTATACTCATCCTGAGGCTTGAGCCCAAAATTTGGATGAATTAAAAAATCGAATAAGAGAAGTCTCCAATTCTGTTACAGCAGAAACTCTTTCATCTGTTCGCAGAAGTTTTTATGACAGATTGGGGTACTGTTCAGCCGTAGAAAGTCAACTATTTGAACCATTTCTGTAGGTCATAAAGAATTATTTTTTATTTTATTAGGAATAATATTTTAATGTTCAATAAGAGTATATTTTTTATTTTATCTTTTTAAAGAAATACGCTTTTATTTTTAATTCAACCACAAAAAAATTTTCACATTAATAAAAATCGATAACACTGCACCAATTAGTTCAGTGCATTTTTATCGAATTTCCTACTATTAAAATCGGCTTTGCGTAATGAAACATGAGATCGGACGACAGAGAAGTACATACCTAACGTTGTTGTGAGTTACTAAACTAAAATAAATGATTTTCTGTCGGTGTAGATTTTCGGGTCGAAGAACGAACATTTGCAACGTTGCCGATTTTAGCGCTATGTATAGTGTGCAATACCTAATCAAAACCTTAACGCACTGTATCTTACATATGGCATACAACATAGAGCATACTAGTTTTGAGAAATCTTATTGGGATGCTAATGGAGGATAGATAACAGACAAGGAGTAATATCAACAGTAAAAAAGACATAACTGGAATGACTTTTCATGACAATTACAGCTCTGCCACATTGTACAGAATAATTCAAAAATTCATTTACATATCAAATATCAAAAGTATATAATGGATTAGCTAAAGAATTAAAATTAAAATCAATTATATTTTTTAAGAAATCTCTTAAATCTGAATTTCTAAGTGAATAACACATGTGCAACTATTTGATGACCTGTTATGAAGTATGTATAAACTGTGTGATAGTTTTTGGACAATATTTAAATGCTAAATGTTTCTATTGGTTATGGTTTTTATTTGATTGTTACAGAACATGCACAAAAATATATTATATATTTTTTCTCTTGCTTAAGATGAAAAGCAGAGGTACGGATTTCTTGAAATCAGCACCAAGTGATCTTTGGCATTTTTTCTTTCTTCTTGTATTTTATGCATATATAATTTATATATTTTGTGTACTGTCTGAATTTGAAGAAAAAATAGAGACTTTTATTATTATTATTATTATTACTTGGTCATGTAATGAGGGCAATTAAATATGCAATGATAGGACTAATATTAAAAGAAAATATATGGAGAGCCCACAGCATTGGAAGAAAAATTTCTTGACTTATAAAGTGCAAATTACCATAATGATTTCTAATCTCCAACACGAAAAGCAATGTTAAAAAAAAGAGATGTCTAAGATATAATTGACAATTACAGCTGTACTCATTATAAGAAATCCAAACTTTAATGCAATTCACACCCCTAAAAAGAAGAAATTTAATCATGACTACTGGATTTTTCAATTGATGGTAAAACAATATAAAATCACTAAGACAATGAAAAAAGATTTCTATAAAAACATCTAAGTATATTTTAACAATCTCCTTGTGCACATTTCTATATATACATGTTATGGTTAGAACTCCAGAATCATAGACTGTACTAATTAATTAAAACTGAGGTTTATGAAAATCTAATTCAACTAACAATCTCCTTGTGCACATTTCTATATACGGTCCGTCCCAAACCCTTTTTTCAGTGCGTCACTAAATGTGACGTCATATAGGATTTTAAGAATGTCGAAAATTATTGCTTGACATTTTAATTAAATCTGACAGTTGCAGGATCGCAATCGACTAAATGTGAAAAAGTTATTTTTTTAAAGGTATGTAGTCTTTGTTTTTTCTCGGTATATCTCGGCATATTTAAAATATTTTTATGACAATAAATACAAAATTTAATTTTTACTCTAAAATATCTGAAAATACTAACCTGGAATGACAATTATCATTTTATCAGTTGACATTGTGAAAGTATTGTCATGATCAAGATAATCTGCGTCAAATTATATTTATGCGCATCATTGATTGGATATCTATTTAGCGTATTCTAAACTCCAACCAATTATACATCCGTAAGTAGAATTCGCTTTAATATGCAAATACTCGTGAACGATACATAATTTTCTATGTTCTATGTATAATAATCACAGACTCACGTCTTTTTCTGTCACTTCTAGCTTTATGTGTTAGAGAGAATTTGATCAACTATGACGCACTGAAAAAAGGGTTTGGGACGAACCGTATACATGTTATGGTTAGAACTCCAGAATCATAGACTGTACTAATTAATTAAAACTGAGGTTTATGAAAATCTAATTCAAGGAATCATACTTATCCAAAGAGGTGGCCACATAAATATATTCTAATAGTGATTTAACTTTATAATTCTACATTCATCTACTAAGGTGGTCACATAAATATATCTGGATGGTGATTTAAGTCTATATACACAACTTGCTTGATACTTTCTAGTTTGTATTATTAAAAAACACTCACCTCTTTTAACAACTCCAAAACTTCCATCTCCTAATTTGACAGACAAAGTAATGTTACTTTCTTGGATTAAACATGAGGTAAAATCAGTAACCACAACTTCATCATGCTTTTTGTTTGTATGGTTTTTGTTTGAAACAGGTATAAATTTATTTATTAAATTCCTCTTTTTCTGGTGAGCCCTTTTCTTCTTTACTGCCTCTAACAATCTTCTACCACCTGAAATAGAAATAATTTTATGTTTTTAAGCTTTCAAAAGGTTTTGGGCAAATTACCTGGTTTGCTAAGTCCAATATTTTCCAGATCTTCAGCAGTTACAAAGTCAAAATGCTCCAACCTTAATATCTGCAAGTCATCTCTAATAGGAACCAAAAACTGGCTCAATTGAACTTCAGATAATATACTTCCTAACCAGTCCAATCCTTCTTCTGACATTTTTCACTGTAATGTAAAGTAAACAATGCATTAGACTGAAAATTACATCACATGAGTGAAAGTAATTTAAAAATCAATGTATAAAATAGTACCTGAGTTGTCTTATTTCATATGAGTTCAAATTCACACGGTATCAGGTTTTCATTTTCAAAAAAGACGTCTAAGTGGTAGCTCAATGAGAAACAGGATATCCACAGGAAATGCAGATTATTTTAATAGTATATTACCTTTTCTTCAAGGTGAAAATGACTACGGCTACAGATGCACAATTTCTCTAGATAAAATCATTTATTTTTAAATTAAGCTGTTACTTTTCTCATTTCACGTGTAATTGAATGGTTGTTAATTAAAAATATCGAAAAATATCAAGTTTTCCTCTTTCCACAAACACAACAAAGTTACTGTTGACACTACTCTACTGACAGTGACAGCGACTGGTACTGTGGTCTGGTAGGGATAATAAGAATTGGTACATTATTGAAAATTTAAATTGTTCATTTTATACTTATATTTTCTGGGAGGTTGTTCTAATGTTTTTCACTCTTTTCACTCACTTTTTAAAATATTACAAATATATCAAGACAATATATATTATAATAGATGCTTATTCAATTTTCAATGCTTCTTTTTAAAATTAACCTCGAATCATAAATCTAAAAGTTATTGAAAATATTTTAAAGAGTAATAGATATTACGTATTTATAAAATTGTTTTCTATATTTTAGTTTTAGAACTAATTCTTGTTTAATTCTGCGGCAAGAGTATATTTTTATTTGGAATATTCGCCATAAGTTAGGTGACTTGCATAACAAAAGAAATTTTTTTCTTTGTAGTTATCACCCCAACCACGCAAGATTATTAGCTGAATTTGTTCGTTCTTAGTTAATATGTGTTGTTGCATAACAACAATATTTAATATTTTTATTTAATTTTGTATCATATTATTATATCACACTGTATATTAGTTTAGATTTATAAAATTTCTCTGTACCATCTAATAATCTGTAAGGCGCCCATAGCTTGCATTCAAATAACTTTCTAGACACAAGTTTCTAAAATCTTCATAGAATCGTAACAATGAAAGGATTAGTATTTTCCAAATTATCGGTTTGACTCATTCGAAAATTCCGAAAGTTGAGACAAATACCCTTCTCAGGTAGTTTTTACCAATGAATTCAAAGTCGAAGGTATTTGAAATGTAAACATATCCTTTATATACGACGAGGGGGTCAGGGGGGACATTTCTGAATGTTAACAAAATTACGATCCGAGAGATTGAAGGCAGTTCAAGTCAGTATCAGTTCAAAATCCATCATTGGATGAGGGCTAGGCTCTACTCGCGCTAGCCGCACCTCAGAAGTTGTAACACAGTCGTGATATTAATAAGTTTACTCAGTTCGTGTTAATATTGTATTACCGACAAATTATATAGTTTTGTAGTTTCATAAAGTTTGGTTTCATAAATCAGCTATCGTATGCAAGTTATCGGCGTCCAAAATACGTTGTAATCGTTTAAATAGACTTGTTAAAACGTTCTTTTCGGATCCTTCATTTGTCCCAGTTTTCTGGGTGGTCCTTGAAAGAAGTATATAAAGTGAACGTATTTCCCTAAGGAAAAACCTTGTTCCCCAAGGGAAAAAACCAGCTACCTATGACTGGTGCGTGAAACAAAGCCATCAGGACAAGGTGTAAGGACAAACACACCTGCATCTTCGCTCATGTGTGTTGAGCAAATCCCTTGCTACTAGGTAAAGTCGCATTTACGCTTTTTAATTTAATTAACGCAAATTATTTTAAAATTTTTAGAAAATAAAGATGAGTTTTCTGTTTGAAGTTTATTTTTTTGAATAAGTGACTCATACAAAAATTATAGTTTCATCACAGAATACACCATTGAAGTATTCTGTGGTTACACTGAGAAACGAAGTAATCAAATTTCAAACTAATGTTTTTTAAGTTATGATATGTTTTGTATTCATTGCATTTTTTTCTGTAAAATTGAATATATCCCATATATCAATTCTGTACTGATAAATAAAAAGGTTTTAAGTCAAAAATATTGATTTGTTTTTTTTTTAACAAACATTTTATTTTACGTACAAATTAACGTAGGTACTAAAAGTATTTGAGTATGTTAAAATACCAATGAAAAGCGATTAAATTTAAGAGTTAATTTCAAAATATAGATGAAAATCAGTTGATTTCTATTACTTTTATTAATATAGGTATTAATAAAAAAGTTAAACAACACTTCTCAATACGTAAACAAAATTACCGTCTCTGTGTTACCTTCTCTATGCATTTTCTGTCTAAGTGTGTATACACTTGTATATTTGAGTTTTTTTATCTTATACTATATTAGATAGTATAAGATAAAAAAGTAAAGTATTAGAGTATAGTACATAGCTTCCGTGAATTAGTGCAGCAGTCATCAAGATTTCCTGTAAGTAATCGTAGTATCTTCAATTATCTGGGCGAATAATATGGTATGGTATCATATCATCTTCCATTATCTGGACGAATCTAAAGTCATCAATTTCTTCACCTGTAGTTGAGAATAACTACTAATTTTTGTATTCAATTTAAAAAACATTCAATATTTTCTTATGAACTTTCATCAGCTACTAAGAAATTTCAATAAATAACATTTACAAACATTTAGTTCTCGATCATCAAATAACAGTGCGAGATAGATGATTAACTACGACCAGTGCTGGTTGGTCAAATTTGTTGTTTCTGTAACCTTTTTTGATTCTTGTAAATTTAGATTTGATTAATTTTTGTCATCTGCTATAATTGTTATACATTTTTAACTCAATATCTCGAGATATGCCCATTAAACAGCAAAGAGAGACGGATATTTTTAAATCAACTTTAGATGGATATTTTTAAATCAACTTTAGATGGATATTTTTATATAGCATTGGACTCTCTTCGCTGATAATTGAACCTGTGCAATATTATATTGTAGTATTTGTAAAGATACTTATTATTCATATTACTGCTTATTTTTATATATACATATATATATATATATATATATATATATATATATATATATATATATATATATATATATATATATATATATCACCATTTCATACTTGATGGTGTATTTTTATCTTGTGTGTACATTCAGCTACCGATATCATTGTGTTGTTGAATACATTGTTTTTGTTTTATATATGCATTTTATTGTCGACTCCTAGCAAGTTTCTTGATATAACCATAACTCTATATATTTGCTTTTTACCTTTAAGTATTACTATACCTTTGACCAGGAGAAAGATCAGGCCGATTAAGTTTCGTAGATAAGTAGATGGACGGAGTCCACTTCATATATTTATTATTGGTTTATATAGTGTGTTGACCAAATTTATTTAATAATTAACCGTTAATATTTTCTCTTGGGTTTGGTCTCTGAACCAAAATATCTTAATGAAGGTTTCTTAATTTTCTCATTAAACACCAAAAAATTGAGTGGCGCCCTGTTTCTATCTTATCGTATCTTTGGTAATTTTACCCATTTATCTTTTGGTTAAATTTCTGTATCTTTTCTCATATATCTTATCTTGTCTTATCTCTACTTATTTCGTCTGTCGGACCCATTCCCGGTTACAAAAGCTAGTTTCGAACCCACGACTCGATCGTCACCAACCATCTGGCTGCCGTCCGCAGTGTCTCCATTGGTGACCTTTCTAGCACCATCAAAAAAAGGTTTCCGAGGTAACAAGTTAAATAAATCTACTATAATGTCTAAGGTTTCATTATGCATGCATTTTAAGATTTCTATAGGGATTTGGTCTGGTCATAACGCTTTACCATTTTTGCTGGTTTTTAATCCCATTTTAATTTCCTCTTTTAATATCTTTAAAACCATATCCTCTTCTACTTCTATCTCCATCTGTTCTGTTTCTATTGTTTCTGTTCTATTTTCTTTGAACAGTTCATTGATGTAGGTGTTCTTTAATTTGTCGTTAGTATTCAATATAAGTTTCCCATTTACATCTTTCAGTATTCCCGGTATTCTTGTTCTATTGTTATGAGTTAATTCTTTAATTTTTTTATGCAAATACTAGAAATGACATAAAAAAATTAACTAGAGTTTTCAAAAGTATGATAAAATATCATGTTCATTATTTCACTTAGCTTCGTACATTTGCCAGAGACTTCGTACATTTGACAGAGATAGAATGAAATAATTTAACTATAGTTTATAGTTTTAAAGTGCCTTCATTCAGTGAACGCCAAAGAATTGAAATTCTGTGTTATGAGTCAAAGCAAAATTCAAAGAAAATACGATGAATGTGGTAATGTTAGATACCCCCCTATAACAGGAAGTCCGTACAGATTGATGTGCAAATAACTCATATATTCAAATCAGTTTGGACTAAATTTTTAAAGCTATTTAAAGTAAATTATACTAAAAATAACTGCTCGTTAGGTATATTCATATGACATTGAAATGTTGTGTTTTACTTCTTATTTAGTGGTATGTTATCGTCTCGCATTAAAGTAGGTATTATATACTAGTTATTCAATTAGTTTTAACATAATTATTTATACGAGGAAGATTTCAAAAAATCTTCTGACTATTTTGTGGGAAGATTTAAGCTTAACATCGGATCACACAGTATCAGCACAAACATTATTTTGTGGTATTCTTAAGACAGAATTCAGTTGTTTACTTTATTTTTCTATCGCACCATATACATTTTCAAATTTATTCAGATATTTAAGACAATATGGACGTTTATTCTAAGAAATCATGAATGGCTCATTTAAAGCAGGTATTCTTGAGTTTTTATTTGTTGTGACTGTATATTCATTGTTATTGTATATCAACTGGCTTAGAGGGAATCAATAATTACTTCGTTTATATCATTTCAGTTTGGTGTACGTATTTGACGTAGCCGTTTATGTTATCTTTTTTTATAACAAATGTTAGTTTGTAAGTATCTATGGTAGCGGTATGGTTAATAGGTTAATGGAGATAAATCTGTACTTTGTCTCAAAGTGACTAGTCTGTATAGGGAAGCTATGCAATGCTAACCTTACGGAAATTTCGCCAAGACGTTGCGAAGCGGCCCACGTCTCAACAACGGCCCACTCAGAAGTGAGTTTTTCTTCTACAAAAATTTACCAAACTACCCACAAAAAGGTGAGGGTATCTCCCACTTAAAAATGATAGGATAGTTGTATGTATTTCTGAGAAAGTAAGCTTCTAACGACCATCGGAAAGTTCGGGGTAAATAACGGTAGCCTTCTAGCTAGGAACATGATGGAATATAAATCCTTTGGATTAGATTATTATAGTAAGAAAACATTACAACGTGCGTTCGAAGATAATTACCAAATTTATAAAAAGAACCCGCCTTCACCGAAAAGCATTAGTTTCTTTCATAC